ATTAATGTTTAAACTATTTTAATTATTTATTGAATTAAAATTGTAAATTTTAAAACTAAAGTTGTGAATGAGAAAATTTTGTCGCACTCTTTTAAATAAAAGGTTATTTTTATCATTTCATAAAATTTTTTAATAACAACTAATTTTTTTAAAAGTTAGAAAGCATTATCACGTTTCTTAGGATCAAAATGTCATATTTATATTTAAAAGGATTTAGTTTTCATTCTCCATTATATCTCATACGCTTGTCATATTTGATTAAAATGAACTTCAATTGTTAAAGGACAGAATTATAAATCCTTTGAATATGAAGAATATTTGACATTAAAAATCTCATCAATTGTGTGCATATAAAATTTTATTAAGCCTGTCAATAAAATTAAATTTAGTAGAATGGATTAATCTCTTATAACTTAGCAAATTTATATTCAAATTTTTACCAAAAGAAATATTTACATTTAACACTTAATTATATTTCGAATAGGATTGCTTCTAATAAAAAGATGCCTATAATCAATTTAAAAAAAAAAATCATCAAGCTTGGAGCGCCTCTAGCCTTCAACTAAAAGAAATAAAAGCTTTTAATTAATTTGATGCTATAGCTTGTGTGCAAGATAAATTAATGCTATAACCGAAGTAAATGATATCTTATATTGACATTGGAGACACATCAACTTGAATAAAATTATGATGAAATATTTTCCCAATGAAGATGTATCTTTGAAAAGTTATATTCTTTTAAAAAAATAATGTCCTTATAAATTAAGAAGTTATATCCTTATAAATTAAAAATTTTTTTATAAATAATTAAGTAGAGAGTTACAGCCACTCTAAATTCTAAAAGCAAATTTTTAGAGTTATACAACTAAAAGATATCATTTGGTGAAAGGAAATGTATTAAAAAAAACTCTAAGTATTTAAAAAATGTTTCTTTTTATGAAAAGTTATTACAAATAACCCTTGGTTAATATTAATTATGAAATTATGTAGGTTTATAAATAACATAGAGATATTCGTGAATTAACATAGATTGCTCATGAACAATATAAGGACTATAAACCAACATTGATTATAACCTTTAAGGAGAGTTTTATTACTTAAAAGATAAGTATTGTTTTAAGGTATCATTTCAATATTTATAAATACCCTTCACCAGTACTTATTTTAAAAATTCATCTATTGGATTTGGAACTCATTACCTTATTCTTTGTGTGCACTAGAGCTAAAATGGAATTATCACTTTGTAAAAATAAACATTTTATTAGTATGAATTTTGGTAGTACAAACTATACTCAAACGTATTCATTACATCTTAAAGAAAATCTGCCATTAACCAAGCTTGCATCCTAAAATTAGTATAGGTGGAGTAAATTAATCCTAAAAAAAATGTGTTACTTATGCCTTAACGGCATTGTAATTAAACCGAAAGAAAAAGTGCTAGTTATGCCTTAACGGCATTGTGCATAAATTTTTCCTTCGTTATGCAAAATTTCAACACAACACAACACAACCAAACTAATCTTCACGGAAGGGAAAAAATTAATGTAACAATTACTATTAATCCATACAAGTCCAGCATGGAAGCTTTTAACCAGCATGAATTCACAAGGGTCACACATGTTATTAGATTTATGCCTCGTGCAATGCATGGGAATATTTTAATTTTTTAGAATAAAAATATTAAAAATTATTTCATTATAAATATTTTTTATTTTTAAAATTTATATGAATTTCTTTTAAAATCAATAGTTAAGGTTACAAAATATGAATATACCTTTTACTTCTAAGTTTTTATTTTCATTCATCTATTCATTAAATGATAATTACTATTCTTGATATATTCTTTTAAATTTTTATTTATATTTTAAATTTATTAATCACACAAACTAATTTATTTAGTATTTTTAAAATTAAATACATACTCCATGTTTTGAAAAAATGTAATACATTTTTAATTAAATATCAACCCTAATAAAGTAGTTATTTATTTTTAAAATAATACCATCTTTTTATATTTATTATTTATTAGGGTGTTTCATACTAAAGTAAATATAAAATATTTTATTCATTATGGTCATTTAAAAAAAGTCAATGATAATACCTTTAAATACTTAAAAATATTTTAACATCCAACTTCTAAAAAATGATCTATAAAAGATGTCTCATATTCTTTAATGAAAAAAGTAAGTTTACTAAAATAACATTTCAAATATATTTCTACAAGCAATACAATGATTATTAAGAAAATATTATGTGTGCAATGAAAAATAAATTCATTAATATTATATAATTAATTTTTAGCCTATAGTTTTTGTTGCTCGAGAGGCAAATAATTATATCAATATTTTTATAGATGTGTAAATCATAATCAACTTTTACATATAAATAATAAAATAATAGATTTTTATTATTTATGCATTTGAAGAATATAAATAAAAACTTATTTTATATATGTTCACACAAACTATTTTGATTTATTACCCTATATTAATAATAAATATTTTTTTATCCAAAAAATTAATATTTATATTTAAATAAGGGTATTTTAATCCAACATGTATTGCTTAATGGTTAATTTTATTGTTAGGTGGATGAAAATAAAATCTTAAAAATAAAATGAGGGCTTTTTATTCATAACTATTTACATTTTAAAAATTCATATAAGTTTCAAAAAATAGAAGAAAAGTATCATTAATTAAAATAAAAATAGACAAAATATTTTTCTAACTATCTCAAATTATTAAAAATAACTTTATTTATCTTTTTTTTTATTGAGTCCATACACTGTATTTTTAAATATCTTTTTTGATCAATTTATATATTTAATTTTTTAAAAAGCTACAAAATAATACATTTAAATAATAAAAAATTAATTTTTTAGTAATTTAAATAATTTTTGGACAACATTTATATTTAAATAAAAGTATTTTAATTTAATATATGTGACTTAATGATTAATTTAATGGTTAGGTGGATAAAAATAAAAGAAAGATTTATATTTGTAACTATCCATATTAAAAAAATATTCATATAAATTTTAAAAAATAAAAAAAGGTATCATTAATTAAGATAAAAATGCATAAATTATTTGTCTCATTTTTTAGTATAAGTTTCGTGTGTACTGCACCCATTTGAAAAATTAAAAAAAAAACAAAAATAAAACGTTAGATTCAAAGCAAATTTTTTTAAAAAAAGGAAAAGTCAGATGATACTGTACGTGATGGTAACAATTTTTTTTAAAAGAAAAAGTTAGATGGCACTATAAATTTACAGCATCATCCCGACAGTGTTCCAATGGTACCAAATAAAAAAGGGGAAAAAATTGGAAGTATTTTCAGAAAATCACTATTTATTTACTGTTTATTCACTGTTCATCACACATCCCAAATGCATATGGTATTTTTAAAATGTTTTTTTGCTAAACTACGCCCCAGCCTTCACCCTTTTCAAGTCAGCAACAATGTTAAAGTAAACTGCTTAATTACATTGAAGCGTTAATAATTTCGCGTGATTCCAATTTATTTGACTCAAAGTATAAAATAATACGTAAACAATTAAACACACATTTTATATAGGAGAAAAAAAAAAAGAATCCCAGATATATTATTGCTATTGAACTTAATTTATAAAAGTAACGTTTACAATAAATCCTTGGGTGTACAATTAATTTATTCTCCATGAAAGAGAGAGAATGATAATTAAGTCTTAAAATTTTAAATTAAAAATAACTAGATTCTTGATAAAAAATTTTATAAAATGAATGATAAATATAAATTTAAATAATTATAAATAAAATTTTTTGTTACAATTTAAGAGTTATATTTAATAGTTAAATACTTATTTGTAATTAAAAATTCTGAATTTATAATTATTTGAATCTATGCTTTCAACTAAATTTTAAAAAAATTGTCAGAAATTTAACTATTATTAATTTAATATTATGGGATTTAACTATTATTTTTTTTCAAAAAAATATATATTTTTTCTTGTTTGAAATATTACATCATATTCCCTCTCTTAATAGAGCAAAATACTTGAATTACTCTTTACTCTTTATTTTTGTTTTACCTAAAATACTGACTCTCCACCCGAACAAAACAGGATATAGGATAAAGATGTGTTTTTTCTGCCCAATCATGTCTTGCATTTATCGTTGGTCTCGTTGTGTAGGAATTAGGTTTCTTATTGTTAATTTCATTAGATATTAATCCCAATGAGTGACAAAGTTTTTTTTTAACAAATTTAAAAATATAAACTATCAATCATTGATGAATAATTCTTCAAAAATCATGAAATGATTAATTTTATCCTGTAATTAACATAAGGTGCTTTTTTGTTGCCAATAAAACAACGTCCAGTTAGAAAGGTCACAACATGAAGGAGGTTTTATCCATGTTAAGTATGGTAATTGAATTAAAGGCTATAGCAATTATCTTAATTTCCGTTTTAGTATGCTACTAATCTTCTGAGCATTTTTTGAAAATCTAACCCTTTGCGAGCGGGAAACATATTTTAAGATTAATGTTCTGCCACATTTAATGAAAGCAGTCAACTTTCAACCAACTAATAATTTCATTAGAGTTATTTTCTCAGCTCTTATATATAATTTTTTTAAAAAAAAATTGTTGTATTCATAAATATAAAAAATGTAATAATATTTTTAAATAATTAAATAATTTTACTATTACCTTGAGAAAAATATTAATTATATACTTTACCCATCCTTATTATAATATAAATATTAATTGACATTATTAAGAATAAAATTAAAAAAATCATAATTAAAAATAATTTTAATTAAATTATAAACTTTTATTAATATACTAAATTCCCTCAGAATGTTGATCAAGCTACAAAAGAACAATTTTGATGTTATGATAGTGTATGGCTCACCGCTTTAATGTAAAGATTTCTCGTCAAAATTTCTGATTTAGTTTTTATGTTTTCATTTGCATGACATGCACATGATGAACAAAACACAGAAAACAATTAGACAAATATATTTAATTGAACATTTATTAATTCATTCATTCAAATTTACATCATCACTCAACCGCTTTTGAAATAATGCTCCCCAACCCACCACCACCCGACCGCCAACGGCGCCCCAAGCATGACCCTCCAACCACTACTGATCCGATGACCGACCCAAATTTCAGACCCGAATACTTTTTTCCAAATAAAATAATCACAAACGCGAACTGACCGTAACACCCTTCATCCTCAGATCTTTTCGAGTTTATCGGCTCTCACTATTGGATTGGCCTTTGCGATCTGCTCCCGGCCCATCGTCTTGAAGTCGAACTCGCACCCGTGCTGTTCCGGGTAGCGGTGGGACCCGCAGTACGTCGACCCGCACCGGCACTTAAACCCTGTGAGCCCCACGCGCCGCCTGCACGTCATGCACCTGTTCGGCTGAGCCGGCGTCGCCCCCTTCGGCTCCTCCGCAGCACGCACCGGATCAACTGCAGGCGAAATATCGGCGGCCGGTTCCAGCAAGGACGAAGACGATTCCGATTTCTCCGCTGTGGACGGCTGAGGGACTATGGATTGATTGAGAACCAGCTTGGCCGAAGAGGACTGCTGCTCCTTGAGCTGCAAATCCCTGTAGCATTTGGAACATAAATTTTGCGTCGCAGGACTGCCGAAGAAGCCGCAGTTGTTGGCGCAGAGGCGCGGAGCTTGGCATCTATGTTCTTCCGCCATTTTCTCGGATCGTCTTCGGTCCAATCTCAGAGAGAGATCTCGCGATCTGCAAAAGAAAACGCTAAACAACATCAGCCGTACATTTTGAAGAAATTTCGAGGACGAAGGGACACGTAGAGAGGGTTACCAGTGAAACGAGGAAAAACGCCGATGAAAAAAAAACAAGAGGTATTGGGGGAATCAATAGAGAGGAAAACAGAGAAGGGAATCGGCGAGAAAAGCAAGAAGGAAAAGAGGGCAGAAAAGAAAAGCACCTCAGAGTGGAAGGGGTGGTAGGGTAAAGGATTGCTGGTGGGGGAAGAAAATTCCAGAGCCCTTCTCTCTTATCTATGGGTGTGCCCCTTTTTGCTTTTTTTTTTTTTTTTTAAATTGAGGAGCAAAACAGCGTGACCACGTCTATTGCTAATTTGTTACGCGTACCTCGAACGGTTTTTTATTAATGCCTCTTTTTGGTTTATTAGGGCCGCGATTATCTTCTGGAAGCCGTTGATGCCACGCCACGCCACGCACCTCCCCCCTCTCTCTTCTAGATTCTCTCCTCGCTTGTAATTGGGTATTTATTTTAATTTAATTTAATTCCTTGTTTGGCACTTGGCTCACCCACAAATACTTTCATTAGTTCCCATCCATCCCCTGAACCTGGACATCGGTTTTTTTTTTAAGAAAAAAAGAAAAAAGAAAACCTGACATCATGAGTTCATGATGGTCCTATTATAAGATTTTTATTTTTATTTTTGAATAATTTTTTTAAATAAAACTAAAGGGGAGAGAGAGCTTAGGTGGAAGTGAAATCTATATGTGGATGTTCTTGATGAACAAAATCTATATGTGGATTTCCTACGTTATAGATCCTCCTAATACTTCTCTTCAAATTAATTAGTTAATGATAATAATAATAATAATACTGCTACTACAAATTGATGGGATCCAACTCTTTGCTCCTCCTGTTCTTGGTACGGGTGGAATATTTCTTAGAAAGAATTTAAATCAAGTATTTTGTGATCTAATAAAAAAATTTACAGAGCATAAGTTATGGGCTTCATAATTTGCAAATTGCTTCCTGTATAAATATATCTATATTGATTGAATTATTGATGATTTATCAATAAAATAAATGCTAAAGTACATATACTTACTCTGAACTTTAGATCATTTGCCTGTAACCTCTGAACTTTAAAAATATAAAAATAACATCTTGAACTTTTAAATTTTGTTCATTAGCCATTTACTGTTAAAACAGCTGATAGCAACGGTTAAATTTAATGGAAAATGACACCATAGACTAATGAAATACAACACATAAGCAAGCGATATGAAATTTTGACTATTTTGTTTTTATGCTAAATTAAATGAGGGTGATTTTGTCATTTGGTCATAACAATCCCTAATTTCCTTTGTCTTTACTGTCGTCTAATTTCTTCAAATCAATTCCCCTGTTCAAGTTTGATGCTTTCTTTACTTTGATGGCATCTTCAACCTTGTTCCTCGGGGGTTTTTCATCTTCTTCCTGTTAATTGCATGCTTCCCACCTTTGTCGCCTTTTATGCGTGGCATCTTTTCACTTTATGCATGCTTACATTGAACCCAAGCCCTTCTCATGATTTTCTTCCATCCATTGCTTTTTGTGAATGTTTTTCTTTCCAATTCATTTAATGTAGAGAGATGTGTACATTGAAACTAAGAATTTAAAACTCTTTTGAATTTTTGCCATAGATTGATAATTGAAAATTTGAACATGAAGTCGAGAATGGAGTGAATGGAAGATGAAAGGGTACCATATGCCTATCCAGCAACCATCTGATAGGAGAAGGGATTGCAAATTCTTTGTTTTTGTGTGAAATTTTTGTCCAAAACGTTGACAATGAGACTACAAATTACTATAGCTTGACAAAAGTGCCCTTAAATTGGATCTATGTGTTTGAGGATGGGATACAAGTGCTGAAATTAAAATGACATATCATTTAAGTGTTTTTATTTAGTCTGAGATGGCACTTCCAGCAATTCATATTAGATTTAGTAGCTATTTTAATTTAATTTTAATAATAAAAAGCAAATGAACTATGTTTGAAAGTTTAGGATGTCATTTTAATATACAGTCATAGATAAACCGGGCATGAAACAGACAAATCAACTACATCAAAAAATATAAAGTTTCTGTATCTCAATATAGGATCTTGTGGATCCCAATATGAAATTTGTTTCTAGATACCTAGTGAGCGAGAAGCTCTACGCATTTATTTGTTTATTTGTAAACATGGTCGAACATGATCGTTTAATTTTTCAAAGCAAAATCTCTAATTTTATTAACAATTTCAGAGAGGGGATGAGCCTAATAGAAATTGTGTTGGATGAGCAATTAAGTTTCTAAAAAAATCAAAATAAATGTGAATTTTGGTGAGTTTGACATCATAGCAAAGTTTGATTCCTCCTAAGATACCTAGGCTATATTTGGTAGGAAGGAATGAGAGAGTGGGACTAAGATTGGTATTAGATAATCCCACCTCCTTGTGTTTGGTGTGAAGGAATGAAAAATTTTATCCCAATACCAATCCCATCTAAGTGGGATTACTCAATACCACTACCTCCATGGTACTGAAAAATCAATCCCAAGATTGATTATTTTTAAATTAAATTACCCCATTATCTCTCCATCATCTCCTTCCCTCTGCTTGCTCCTCCTTCGTCTCCATGTCGTCTTCTGCCTTTGCCCTCCTTTCAGAGCAAGTAACGCTAGCGTCTCCTCTGCTGTTACCATTCTCTCGTTCATTGACATCATTACCAGATCTGTAGGGAGAAGAAGGACATTGAAGATGAGAGAAGGAGGAGAACAATCAATGACCTCATCTACATAACCAGTCTAAGCTTGAGCCACGGCCACCAGATCTTGCCATCGTCGTCGACTTTGCTGTCATCTATATCCTTGTCATTCTCATTTCTTAGTTCAAACTAGAAGGAAAAAAAACAAAGGAGAGGATAGCAATGAGGTTCTCTTATGCAGCCATGGGTGTTCTTTTAGGGGGAGAAGAGCAACAAAAAGTTAGAAGAGGAAGAAGATGATGAGAATAACCAGTGAAAGCATTTATTCTGCAGCCATGGACGTTTTGTTTTAGGGAGAGGAAACTGTTCTAATGATAATGACATAAATATTCAATTTATATTTTGAAGGATAATATAGTATTTTTATATTTTTGTTTAATTATAAAATAAAATAAAAATAAGTATTCCTTCTTAATATTACTTCATACCAAACATAATTTTAAAACTTCATTCCCACTTTCATTCCCAATACCAATCTCAATCCTAATCTCAATATCAATCCCTCTAAATTAAGGTCTGCCTACCAAACAGGGCCCTAGGAGTTTGGCATTTGTGTTTAGATGGTATCTGAGATATGTGAAGAAACCCTTAATTCAGTTATCTTTTTTATATTTTTAAAGTCGAGGGGGTTGTGTGCCATTGATCTAAAGTTTATGAAGGTTATATGTATTTTAGTCTACAATAAAAGAAGAAGAAGCAAAAGGTGCTTTATTTTTATTTTAAATCTTATTCTTATTTATTTATATGTTAAATGAAAATAGAAGTTAAAGATATAGTTAAATAATAGAAAATCAAAACGGTTGAAAAAAACTTACTACTAACAGATGATTATTTTGCTTTGATTGTGAAAAGTATTTATTCGAGTAATAAATATCTTCTGCATGAAACTACATCTAAGAAAATCATATAATAAGCAAGATCTTTATTTGTGCAGACTGAGTGATTTAAATTTAGAAAAAACACCCATCACTATTGTCAAATTCTTGAGTTAACTCTTTTAATTTATCATTTTTATATTTACAATTACAACTTACAAAACTATGTTAACTAGCTGATAAATTTGAACTACTGTAAACTTTGTTAAATTCATGAATTGACTCTCTAAGTTTATCATTTTTATGTTTATAGCATATACAATCTTATTAACTCACTTATAAACTTAAATTGGATGTAAATTTAATTGAACTTGTTAAATTTTTACTATGTTGAGCGAGTTAAATATATACAGTATATAACTCCACTCATAGTAATAGTAGGACTTAGTTAAACAAACTTAAAAAATAAAAACTAATATTAATAAAAAATAAGAAATGTCAAAAATAAGTTGGTCTATTTTAAGATTTCCACATTGCATATGATAATCTATTGATGTAGATAGATTTAATTTCAATGATTTATATTTGACGTATATTTAAATCAAGTTATGGTCATATTTTATATTTTAATTATTTAATCATATATTTTTAATAATTATTTATCAATAGAGGTAAACTCTTACAAGTTTACATGTACATCATGAATTTATTTAAACTCACAAGTTTGACAATCTTGGCTCAAATAACCTAGTCATATATAACAATCTACTAGTCCTTACTCTTGACTGTTAAAGATAAATTTTTAAATGAATTTAGTACATCATGTTATCCATAGTTTATCAAATAAAAACATGATATTTATATAGCATTAAATATAAATTAATTTTGATGTTAACAACATTAGAGAGAGAGAAAAAAATTAAATAAGCATTTTATTATAAAAACAAAGTCATTAAAAACAATAACATGTAAGATTTTATTTGGTTGAATTGATGTCATTTTATTGGTTGGATCCTAGATAAAGTGATATACATCAGGTCTATCTAATTTTTTTTATAAAATTAAATTAAAATTTTATAAAAAAGAAATGATAGCTAGACAATGTTAGATATTGATCAAACTTAAATTTATTAATATTTTCCAAATGACATATAATTATTTAATATATAAGTATATAACAATGTCAATAATTACCCAATTTATTTTTAAAAAAAATCAAAATATTTAGCTCCATACATTGATAATGATTTAAAAATAATTTTGGAACAATTTTGAAATCTATCACGCCTCAAAAATTAAACGTGATTGGCATGGGACATATGCATCAACACACATCCCTTGAGCCTTAATTAAGATATATCTAGTCTAATGTCTAAATTTATATGGAATACATTTGAAAATCATTATAACATTTTTATCTAAACAAAAAGCTTCCTAAACTTTTTGTAAAAATTTCGGCTAAATCTTTCTTATAATTAGAACCTTTTGAAGACTCTACAACAGCCATATATAGCCCAAATTAAAAATGTGAAGCTATGCTCTTTCACAATAGATAGACATATAGATTGGAGGTGATAATCCTCCCTATAGTTAATATAGAGTAACTAATCATAAATTCAAATTATAACACATAATTAAACATTTGCATCGAGA